CTTATTTCCGAGACCCCAACCCCAACCCCAACCCCAACCCCAACCCCAACCCCAACCCCAACCCCAAACCCAATCCCAAACCCGACCCCAACCCCGACCCCGAACCCGAATCCGAACCCGAACCCGAACCCGAACCCGAAACCGTGCCCCGACCCGAAACTTGGTACCCAAACCGGAGCCGGACCCGGAGCTGGAGAAAGTTTATAGCCTGGGCTCCAGAAAGGAGCATCGTCCTACCTAGAGAAACGTGATCCTGTGCTTTTTAAGACTATTTAGCCATTGAAAGTGATATTAATTATCATGCCTTATAGTTATCCATATGTTAAAAGACTACTCATATAGATAAGAACTATGCCTCCATTTTAAAAAGCATAATGAGCGCGCTCAAAAAAATTTTTGAAAAAACGACTTTTTTTCATCTTAATTGAGTTTCATTTAATTAAGAAACTATGATATATTATTAAAATTAATCTAGTTTAATAGATTCATAAACAATAGATTATCTAGTTGATTTGTTCAACCAAAATGTCAAAATTTCATTTTCTTTAAAATCAATTTATAATTAAAAAGCACATTCCAAGATTTTATCATTTTTAGTAGATAATATAAAATATCCCTCCTCAATTAATTCAATTCAATTTAACTCAATTTAATTACTGCATGTGATTATATCAAACTCTGCTCTATCAACCAATCAAGTGTGATTAAAAATACTCTATGTTTCTAGAATCCCAATATCTTAATTTATTTACCATCCTCAGGTTTAGTGATCTCAACTTATCCAAAATTCACATTACATCTTATAGTAGAAATATTATTAGAAATTAAATTTCAAAAGGACTTTGTCATTTTGATGATTAAACAATTTTTTAGACTCTAACCTAAGAAAATCTTTATTTATTTTTTGTTTAGGTGTTTGAAAATTAAAACCCTAGTTAGATAACTTTATGTAGGATTATGATTTTCTTTGCTTAATCTCCAACGCATTTACAAGCTACCTACTCAAAATTCAGAGTTGCTACCAAACGCCTACAACAATATCACTTGTCTTTACAAACTAGTAATATGCTTGTCCTGACCAAGCCTATCCTAATTAATACAATCTCGTATCTTTAGATGCAGATGTCCAATTACTTAATTGTATTGTATTATATGAGAACTCTAATTTATTTTAGAAAAATCAGGACAACCTCAACTCTTATGAAATGAGTTATAAGAAGGCTCCAAATAAAGCAATTCCTTTTATATTAAATAGCTTGCTACTTTAGATAAAAGTATATTTTGACTACAGCAGAGAAGGAAAGGGACAGTTTGAATTATATTATATATTTTTTACTTTCAACAAATATCAATTTATTTTAGATACTTTTAACTTTAGAAATTGCAATCATATAAATATGTGCTGTTCTGTTATATTTTTTTAAATCTTAATGTTATCAAGTGTTGAAGTGCCTATGTGTTAAGCTGTTGATGTGCTTTATTCTTAGAATTATATTCTAAAATGAAATACTTCATAAAATTAATATCAACATTTCTGATAAATTTACTATATAGTTTTTTAGAACCTAAATTAAATAGTAGTTTTTTTTTTCATTAATTTCATTCAAAATTTTAATAGAAATTCATATTGAGTCTATGACGCATTATAGCACAATATATTCTGTATAAGTTTTTTAATTAAGATATTTTATATGTTAATATTGGTTCTATTACCCATAATCTACTTGGGGTATACATAAGAGCAATGCCAAGTCAAGAATCAATAAATATCATTTTTCTTTTCTACCTAAGAAACATTTGAGTGGAACTTAAAAGATTTATTCACAGGATCCTATTTGAATTACACCTTAACCTCAAAGTAACCCTTCTTTACTTTGAAGAAACCTATACATTAAGAATATACACCTAAAACATTGATAGAAGGTATAAAATATAGTTAAATTAGGGATATCAAAAATTGCTGCCATTTAGGCTAGAACAGAATAAAACTAAAGAGTATGGCTAAATCAATTTGCCTTTATTGAAAAAAGTGTAAATTCATTATCTATTTTTTATGCTTAAGGGTAATCTTAATTAATGATAAATTAGTACTTAAGGAGATTATAAACCGCCCAATTTTAATTATAAAATAGTTTTTTCCCAAAACTAAGATATTTAGTGTTTAAATTTAGAATACTTAAATGAAACATCGTTTTTAGCTGATTGCTATAATGCTATAAAAAATCCTATATTAAACTACTTTTATATTATTGAAAAATCGGGTGCTGTCAGAAACATCAGCAATCAAAATTATGATGTCTAAAATATCATCACAAAAAGAATAACTAAAGTAATACCTTTTGTTGACAGCAAAAAGAATAATATCAAATTGCTGTTTAGATCAACACCAGCCTATGCAACTGGATCAGATTTAAAGACAAATTCATAAATTGAAATTTACAACATTTCTACATTATTTTTAGTTAACTAATTAACAGCACGTGATATCGGAACACTATTGAAAGTTGATGATCCTTTCAAATATAAATTTAGTTTGATAGACTTTGATATATTTTCAGATGGAAAGCTTTATATATTAACTGCATTTGATGGCATCATAATTTTATAAATAGATTAAGCTCTTGGCTTTACTTTAATAGATAGGATATAACTTTATAACGATGTAAGAGAATTTGATGTTGGCCATTTTTTGTCCGAAGATGGGTCTCTTGTAGAGACTATTGGAGTATTATTCTAAAGCAAGGCTGAAGTTTATGAAAATAGAATTTTCAAGAATTCTTACTCATTAGATTTTGCCTCATAATACACTACTTTATTGAAAATATCGTAAGAACTATTGATAATTTAAAATAAAGGAAAAACTTACTTGATCAATACTTAAACCAAAGATTTGATTCATAAAGAAGTACTTGAAGGTATTTAAGGAATATTAATCAATTAATACATGGAAGAACTTATTTATGTTACATAAATTGATGCCAGAAGATTCGCTTTATCTAGTGGAAAGCTAAGATTTAAATCAGGAGATTTGACTGCAGCAAGGGATGTCACCACTATTACTGCATTTGATGAACTTGGTTATTAATGTTAAGTTTAATTAAATTATCGAGTCATAAATTAATATGATTCAGTATTATACGCAGTCCAAGAATTAGATATATCGAATGTATTTGTTGATTATCCCTTCTGGACTCCATTTTAAATGCCTGTATCAGGGCCAAACGTCTAAGTTAATTCTTCGAAGTAGAATAGTCCTTAATATGAAGCCACAAACTCAGCAACACTATTAATCAAGTAAGGAGGCTCAATTAATGCGGAATCAATATATTCTTAAATTCCATTAGCAAAATCATCAAAATTTGTCAAATTGATTAGTTTAGATAAGGATGACTAAAAAATAGCAATTATCTTTTAAGAATCATCAACTAAGAATATTCTTACTTACATCTGTTCAACAGACTAAGGAGCCCCTTGCTAAAGAGAAACTATATGCGTTAATTATGTGAAATTTCGTAAGGTGAATGAGTATCAGTTTCTAAGTAAGTTAGGCGGGATTCTTGTTTTGTGTGGGAGGCTATCAGTGGATGTC